AAAAAAAAAAAAAAAAAAAAAAAATAGCCAATTTATTGCAATAAAAAAGAAAAAAAGAAAAAAAAAAAGCCATTATGTGTAAATCAAAAAAAATAGCCAAATTGGCAAAAAACACAGTAATGTTCAAACATAGGCGCATTCTAACGCTGTCAATTTTGAGCATAACACCAACCACACACCCTTTTGTTTTGTTCGTAATAAAGTTGTCCCGTAAGATGTTGTCAGAATGATCTGCCGACGTTTCCTCGTTTTGTGAATAAAGAGGTAGTATTTGTGAAGAGTGCTATTTAAGGCCACACGTTTGTAGCTATGTTGTTATGAATATACAAGGTTTTTTTTTTTTTTTTTTTTGCAATATTTTGGCTTTTTCTTTTTTTAAATGCTCCAAAGTGCGGACACAACTGCGATGATTGCTTACCAACAAGGCGTCCTTCGTAGTGGATAACCCGAAGTCTACATTGCTCATTTTAAGTGTACAAAAAGTAATGAGTGTGTTTTTAGCTCCCCTCCCCTATGCTAGATCTACGTAGAACAAAAAAGAAACGCAAACCTGTGCGCGCACCCCTGCAGACAAAAACAACATTTTTGCTCGCCTTTTACAAAGTGCAATTTGTTCACCCCAAGTGATGCACCTTCGTCCTTTTTTTTAGCTTTTCAAAAAAAAAAAAAAAAAAATGCTGCCATTTTGTCATCATCACAGCATGCAGCACTGACAGCATTGTAAAACGAAACAGCCACATGATTCACACTTGTTTTATTTTATTTTATTTTTTTTTTATTGCCAGCGTTGTAGAATTATTTATCGCTTCTCCTTTTCTGCTCCTTCCCTCCTACCTCTTATTGTTATTTTTGCCTATTCGCAGTTTTTAACAGCAGGAAGGGGCGTGCATGTGTACATTCCACATCCTTTTTAACCCTCAAGCATTTTGGAAAATATACACATTTGTGTTCACACAGCGCATATGCACGCATAGGTGGCCCTTCACACATGCACACTAACATTTTCCCACACATAAATACTGTGGTCCCCCCATTCCATTCTCTACTTACAAAAAAAAGACGCGCAAGTCACTTTTCCCCCCGCGCGGCCTACAACAATGGGACAAATATCGTCGAAGGAGGATGATTTCGAGAAACAGGACATCTACGCTAGCTACCCCGGACTTGAGCAGCAGCTGGACATGGTTTTTGCTTGTCATGACATAGGCAATCAGGGCAAGCTTCCTTACAAGACTGTGGAAATGATACTCAGGCATTTCTTAATGCAGTGTGGCTTCATGGAGTACGTCTGCCGATTCGTGGACGAGAATGGTAAGGGGCGCTAGGAGTGATGGGAGCGATGAAATGTTTGTGTATAACTACGTCCGCATGCCCATCTCATCCACTCGTTCCCTGTGAAGCGTCCACTCCATTTGTTCCCCCTTCTCAATCTTATTGTCAATTCTACACCGTTTCTTTTTCCCTCCACTCAGGCCAGCTAGACTTAAAACACGTGGAAAGTTACATGACGAGCAACAAGTGGCTGAGTAAGTTCAAATGCTGTGGAGACAACAACCTTACGGTGGAAGAAATGAAAGCCCTGGTTTTAATGTTTTTAAAAAAAATATCGGACACGTATGTAGAGGACCAAGCTAAGTGGATGGATAAAATGAGAAACTCGCAGGAGGAACAAGGAAAGGCATTGGAAGAAGCAATGAATGAGTACGAGAAAAACATTCTATTCACTCATGCCCTGAAGGAACAACAACTTTTACATAATAATAAAAAATTAAGTGAGTGGAATGAAACAATAGAAAATGCATATGAGGCACAGCAAGAAGTGTTGCGTCAATTTGAGGCCAAAAAGAGGGAGGACAAAAAAAAAATGGCATTGGAAAAAAACAATGAATTGGTTATAGCAAAGGATTACATTGACAAAATAAAAGAAGCCGCAACGGATAATAGGTATGCCAACTCGAAATGTTTTGTGTACCCAGCTTCCTCGGCTCCCTGTGGTGCTTGCACATCTGCGGGGGCCATTGCGCCGTATCGCCGCTTCAAAGAACCCAGGAGGAAGAAGCAATATTCCCTCTGCTTGTAATGCTCTGGGAATTAGGAAGTCTCCCTTACGACGTAGGAGTTTCTCCAAAAGGGGGGAGACGCATATAATATTAATAGCATGCTTCTTTGTCCCCTCGGAGCAGCAAGCCTTGAGCGGCTGGTGAGAGGTGATGCGTTCTGCACCGCACAAGCATATTATAACACTTTTACGGACTCACATTGTGATTGTCCTCCGCCTTTTCATCCCGCGTGTTTATCATTATACACGCGCGTGTGGCTCCATCCCCGCTTGTATTGTCCACTCGCATATTTTATTTTGATTCGAACCCGTCTTTGTGCGATATATGCATGTCAAGCTTGTACACATATACTGCGCTGTAAAAGATATCCCCTAGCTCGCTCTAAGATGGAGTGAACTTGTGTCACTAAATCCGTACTAAATATTTTCGGGCCTCCTTCGATGTCCCCTAAATTGTTTCTTCGTGTTTTTTTTTTTTTTTTTTTTCTAAAGAGAGATAGACATTTTGTAGAAAGATAAACGCATGCAAAAAAAAAAAAAAATAAAATATTAAATAAATTAAGCGCAACGTTTTTCTCTGTGGCTTTAGTCCCCAATAACGGAAGAAGTAGACATTTGAAGGAGGGGGAGAGGGGGTACACGGAGAGTGGGCAAACTTTTGGAGTTCCCCCCTGCATTGTCAATTTGTACAGTGCCAAGGTATGTCTCCTCTGCTTTAAGGTAAACTGTATTTTTTTTTTTTTTTTTTTTTTTGCATGCGTTTCTCCCAAAATGACAATATTGGAGAGGCACCTTAACAGATGTGCGAACGGCCCATAAAAATGTGTATTTTTTGTCAACCCCTCGGGGCAGCCTAAGCCCACCCATTGTGTGGAGCACCCATTTTGCGAACCACCCATTTTGGTTCTGTTTTTTTTTCTCAGTTTCGCGTTGCTGCCTGCATAGACAGGGCACCGTAAAAAGCCTTTCCTCGTTTTTTCGGCCCAGCAAAATGAGCAAAGGAGAACCCACAAAAGTGGTGGCCAGGGTGAAGGAAGAGGAACTAAATGACCTGTACGACTGGGTCAGCAGTTTTAACCTGTCCAGAAAAATAAAAAATATACACAGAGAATTTTCAGATGGAGTTTTAATGGCAGAACTTGTAAATATATGTTTACCCAAGTTAGTTGAATTGCACAATTACAGTAAGGCAAATTCAATTAGCCAAAAAAGGTATAACTGGAATACATTAAATGAGAGAGTTTTTCGCAGGATGGGTTTTCGAATTGACAAAAGACATGTGGAAGAAATTGTTAATTGTAAATATATGGGTGTGGAGAAGGTGCTGAACACGTTTAAAAATCAGCTGCATAAATTCCAGAGCTCTGAAATGGAGGTGGATGCTTCGGGCAGTTTGGGGGGAGATGACCAGACCAGATCGTTTAACGAGGAAGAGTCTCCCCTTGCCGAGGGGACAGGAGACCAATCAAGCCAGGTACTTCCTACAGGGCACAACATAAAAAAAAAAAGGGGAAAAAAAAAAAAAATGCCCAACTGATGCTTTACAACCCCCCCATACAGGCGATGCTCCTATATACGCTATTTTTACCCCTGTCTACTTCGCCGTCTTCCACCTGGTGTCTATATGCTCTCTTATAACCGTCCCCCTTTGCAGAGTGCCGAGTTCCTCAACGACGAAATTGTGAAGATCCTGCGCGACAAAATTTTCAACCTGGAGAAGCTTCTCAAGATAAAGGTGAGCCAGAAACAGTATAGCGCCACCACCCCCGTTGTAGCCGTTGGTGAGCCCAGCCACACGGTAGAAGGCATAAGGAGCAAAAATTTAAGTCTAAACGCTAAAGTCTAAATCTTAAAGCGCAAAATTGGAAACGCAGCGCGA